CAGCCTAGAGGCCGGCACGCGAATTTTTGTAGAAGTCGACGAAGTAGGCTTCAATTTATTTTTTTATCGGGGCCTTAGACCGGACCCTGGTTGAATTTTTTTTTGTTTTTTTTTTAAATTTATTTATTCATTAGTTAATTTATATTTGTATACGCTGATTTTTGTAGAAGTCGACGAGTAGCGTTCAATTTTGTTTGTTATTAATTAATTAATTAATTTATTCATTAGTTGAGTAATTTGTATATGTTTATTTTTGTAGATGTCGGCGAGTTGGCCACACGGACGGGGCAAGGGACCGATGACACGTGGCATGAGACCAGATGGATTTGCTGGAATCGAGGAACCGGTAAATGATACTACTGCACAAAGAGAGGGTAGGACATACAAACGTAAGGTTACTGGATCTACACGACGGGGCGATCGTAATTTGCGACCGAGGGAGCCAGAGGCACAAACCGATGAGGATGATGATGATTCACATGTAGGTTTCGAGGGTCAGTATGTTTATCATGTGCCAGATTTTGGATTAGATGAGGATGATGATGTTGGTAATACTGATTCCGCATCCATGACTAATTGTGTTGCTGCTACTTCATCTGGTGGTGCTACTCATCGTCGGGGTAGTACTTCGTCCGATACTGCTACTCGTCCGTGGAAGTTGGCTGGTCCGGCACCTGGTGGACCTACTGACTATAAATTGATACCGAGTTTCGGAGCGCACGTCGCCTATGACATTTGGGAGGGAAAGGTAATATTAATTTTTATTGTCTTTTTTTAAATGCATATAGTAGATAGTTGCATAATTAAGATTGTTTATATTTTGTACAGGCGCGATCTATGGTTAAATTGCAATCCCGTACGAAAGCGGTGACTGGTTGGCGTGGGCCAACAGATGCTCGGTCTGTTGCATTGTTGGAGGGTACTGGTTTGTACCAATTGCAGCATTGTGTACTCCCTCAACACAATAACCCCCTGATTGAGGCATTCATTGAAAGGTGGCAGCCGGACACAAATACGTTTCACATGCCTTTTGGGGAGATGACGATTACACTCCATGATGTGCATTATATCATGGGGTTGCGAGTTAGTGGACATCGTCCTTACACTGATATGCAGAAGAGCTTGGTGATTGAATTTGGCTCGAGGATATTCGATCTTGACATTCTCAAGATAGAGAGTTGGTGGCACAATGGCGGCCCCCGATTAGAGGACTTGCAGGAGCTATACGGAGATCATTCATCAGCTTCGTCAGAGTGTAAGGTGCGAGCATACATCATTTACTTGTTGGGATCGACTTTATTTGTCAATAAGAGCGGTGCTAGAGTGAAGCCAGATTTTTGCCCACTTATAGAGGACATCGAGCAAATTAGAGAGTACTCGTGGGGCTCCGGTACATTGGCAAATCTATATCGACAGTTGGGTATGGCTTCACGAGTTGAGGCGAAACAGATTTCCGGATGTCTGACACAGTTAGAGGTAATTATTTTATTTGTATATTTTCTTTAATTATTTAATATAATTAATATTTATATTATTTTTAAATTGTGTTTCATACGTTTGTATAGTGTTGGATATACGAGTATTTTCCGAGTTTTCGACCTCCGACGGTTAAAGCACACGTTATAGGAGAGCCATGGTGCATGAGGTGGCATATATCAGACGTGGTTCGAAAGGATAGCAGTCGATTACTTGAGTATCGTCGGATGCTTGATCATTTACGTGCAACCGATGTAAGTAACTTGTACAATGTATTGTTTCATTTGTCTGAATTAACTGTATTATTAATATGTATATTTTATTATAATAGGTTTATTGGACTCCGTTTGGTCCGAATGTGGCACGTGATGTCGAGAAGACACTCCATCATGGTACTATCAGGTTCATGGATACGATCGAGCCTTACATGTGCGATAGAGTCTTGCGCCAATTCGGCTTTCGACAGATTATTCCCGCGTCCCCTATTCAACCGATGCGTGGTTCTAAGAGGGAAAGAAAAATTGTTTCGTATAAAGTACGTTACGAGTCCAATGATTATGCATGGAGTATCCCAAACGTGCACAGACTTGAGCAGACTTACTACGGTCATAGGGCAGATCCAGCTTGGGAGGTTGCTACAGATTACATGGATTGGTATATACCTCGTACTCACCTTCGTGTAGATCCCAGTACTGGTTTATTGGAGAGAGCAGAACCATCTCTAGTTCCATTCGTGTACGATATCACACGATTGTTGCATCCGTACTACTACGATCACTTGCCACCATCCCGTATTCCAGGATATCATATGGTACCAGATGATGTCTTTAGACAGGTTCAGGATCTGTGCACGCCATTTTCTGATTATTTACAGTTGCAGCCACCCGATATTCCCGATGATGATATGGATGCTGAGCATGATACTGGACCGTCACGTATGCCATATTCCCAGAGCAGGCGGCAGAGGAGGGACTAGTAGCTATTGTTATATTTATTTTGTTGGAATTATTTCAATAATTATGTGGGCTCACATATGTGACGTAAATGTGTATGGCTATCTTAAAGAAAGTCCAAATTAATTGTGATCTAATAAAGGTTATTGGGTTGGACTTATGGGTATTAAACTATAATTATGGGCCTAATGTGTAGAGACAATGAAGGCTTAGTTGTGATTTATTGATGGGGCTGAATCACAATTATAATATAACTGGACTCTACAGTTATATAAAGGGTCGTGGTCCCCAAAGAAACGCAACCATTCCATCTCTTCTAAAATCCATCGTTAGAGAGAAAAATAAGGAACTGCGGATTCTTTGGAAGACCGGTCCCAAATCCAGTGGAGATTCGAAGATTCGATTCAATGATGTAAGGTACGCTTCCGTGTTTATGTTTGTGTTTAATTCTCGTTGATTCAAGCATGTTGGTTCTAGGGAATTCGTATGTAAGTACGATAAAATTTCTAACAAGTGGTATCAGAGCCACCATGTCTTGAATTATCGGGGATATTATGTTTGTTGTATTTCATTATTTCGAAGTTATGCGAAATATGATTTTGTGGATTCAATTCTGAAAAATTATGGTCCGATTATGAACTTCGAATTGTGTTATGTTATGTGACAATTTCTTAATTTGTTAAAATTCATCCGGCCTGTTGTTTGTTAATTGTTTAATTAATTTCAGAATTGTGTTTTTTAATTGCTGAATGACAAATCTGGAAATTGGGTTGTTTATGTGAATCTGAATCTCGATTTTCAATACGATTCTACAAGAATCTTTTCACAGTTGTTGTATGATAAATTCACTTTTTGGGTTGATTAATTTCAAATTTAAGGTTAAATTATTTGGTTTCAATCCAATGGGTTGAAGAATTAAGTTTTACGGCACAAATCTGAAATTCAATCGATTCGATGGTGAGGGTGGCTGCTGTTTAGGTCTTCCCGGCGGAGCCACCCCTAAGGACCCACCACGGTTAATCCTTAACCAGCCCTCCATGTCCATCATCCATATTGGATCGCCGGCGGTGGACTCCGCCGCGTAGACATGAGCCAGAATTTGGTATTTTCTGGCGACGGTGGTGTTGATTGGCTGTAAAGTTTAAAGGAGATTTAGGTGGTGACGGCGGGTCTGGAAGAAGAAGGCAATTGGCTTTAATGAATTTTTTGGGAAATTGCAATTGGGTCCCAGATTTAGGGTTTCTGTAATTTCAAATTTGGTCCCCTAATTTAAGTTTGAGATATTTAGCAATATTTCAATTTGGCCCATATTTTGGTTATTCCTGATTTTCAGCCGGGGTCAATTTGAAATAATGAAAAAATCTGTATTACAGCACTCAAGCTTTCGAAAACTGCATTTCAGTCCCCACTTTTAAAGTTTCTTCCAAAACAGTCATATATTTTTCGAAAATATATTATGAATCTCAAATTAAGTATTTCTTAATCTTAGATCCCTTTTCACTCAAAGGCTTTTCTTTCAAAATTTCAATTCAGTCCTTTAAGTTGAAAGATTTTCTGGTTTTGGGGCAAGGGTAATTTTTAAGGAATAAAAAAAAAAAAAAGTTAATTTAAGGTTTTGGGGCCGTTTAAATATTTCAATTATTTTGAGGGACCAAACTAATATGTGAATTATTTTAAACTCATTTAAGTTTTTGTTTGGTCAATAAAGTGAAATTCATTTTGAATTTCAAATTCGGTTTTCTAAGGCTAATTTGGGGAATTTTCAGATGATAAAGTTTATGCCGTTTAGACTTAATTTTTTTTTAGTAATGGGTCAAAATTAAGGATACAAATTAATTTTTAATAAGCTTCTGATCCATTGTCATTTCATCGTTGTTGAGTCAAAATATGGATAGTGGTTATTATTAACCAAATAAGGATTGACTTTTTCGATATTTGACTCAAGGCTTTTATTTAAGTCTAATTATATGTTTATTAATTTAGTTCCAATCCATATAAGGTTAGATTTATTGGTTAAAAGTTTATTTTGGCCACTAAATCTAAATAAGATTGAATTGTGAGCCCCACATCATTTTTGGCTCAAATTCAAAATAAAGATGGATTCGATGTTGTCAATTCATACTCATTTTTATGAATAACCATATTACTGAGTTTGATTCGAAAACAATACAGTGAGGCAACCTTAGTGTTGGATACAGCCGCTTAGGTGATGTCATTAGAGCCTTGGCGTTCAACAACGACTTTAAATTTCTAAATAATTTTTTGGGTACATCTAATGACTTGTTATTAAGTTGTCTGACTTTTAAGATAACTGATTGAAGCATGAAGCCACCAAAGTGACCTCTCTGTGGAGATTAGCTTATTGAGAATGTTAAGATGTTATGTATATGTGAATTCATGCGAATATTTAATTATACCCAAAGGTAGGTTGATATTTGGCCGAACCACATATGCAACTGTGGTAATAAGTGCGTGACAATTGTTAAGTTTCCATGTGAATAATAAGTGACATCCAAAGATGGGCTCATTATTTGACAGGATTTATCGTCAGCACTTGATTACTACAACGAGAGTGCCACTTACAGTTAATATTATTGTCCAAAGACATGATATTAATGTTGTGCTAGGCATCTTGAGATGTACTCCATAATTATTTAAAATTGAAAAGTCACATTTGGATTATAATGTGAGTATATTGGTTTTATTTACGTTCTCTATTTAATTTATTTATATGCTTACACATTATCTGCCTATAACACTTTGTGCTTAATTGCACAAATATTTTTATTATTACCTATTATGGTGCATAGATCTTGAATTTGTTTTTGGATAGAACAATAGAAGAACCTAGAGTATATCGTCGTTCTATTTATAAAATTTAAGATCATTAGGTGCATCCATTTTAAATATTTTTTTGGGGGCATAAGGTTTAATTTGGGGCTACGTACTAGAAGGTTCCTTAAAGATAGTAAGGATACGTTTTATTTTAAAACGATAAAGTTGCAACAAATTAGATTTTGATATCTATTGTTTAAATAAGGTATAAAGAAAAGGAACATAAGTAAGCATATTAAGTAATAGTCTAATCTCATTTTGAGTTATAGCACTTCAGTTAGTGTGGTTTCGCTGACTTGAAAGTGAATATGGTTTAATTTATTTTTCTACGTGAATGGTCAATATAAGGTTTGTTGTAAAACATAAATAATAAAACTTTGACCGTTCACACGAAGAATAAATAATTAAGGGAGAAAAGACTAAGTGCTAATTTGACTAGTACATCTTAAGATAAATCATTATAATTGCAGTTTACATCTGAGGTACGTTGAATAACATAATTATGCTTGTTTCTCACTTTAATCTGTTCTAAAATATATTTTGACTTTGTACCTAGACACATTTAGTGAATAGATCCTGGGTTACACTGTTCACATAAATGTGTATATAAAGGGTTATTCACATAACCAACATTTAATTGATGTTGAAAGATATACATCTATAAAGGTTATGTGAGATTTGGGATTGAGACTATGAGGACTCTTAGGTTTTCTTTTGAATTATGAAATAGACATTTGGTACCTCATTAGATGGATTTAGATTTTCTCTTGAACAAATTTAGTTAATTTGTTCATTTGAAAACATTAAGTTTGGTATATTTCATAATTCAAAATTAGACCTATAATTTAAATAAAAGTCTCATACAGTAAAATCTTGCATAAGCAATTTAAAATGGTACAAAATTCAAGAATAGAACATTCAATGACATTCAAGGAAGTATGATAAGTCATTGTTCTTCACTAAGGTATATTTAGGAGAAACATTAAGTGCTGCAGTATGTTATGTTTTAAAAGGGGAAATTTAAAATATTTTAAGGATGTTGAGTTTGAGGGGAAAAATTTAGATTATAGACATTGTCTTTAAAGATAAGTCAATTCGATTCCTAATACTGCTTTTGACAATGTACATGTCTTTATACTTGTCATTGTTTGAAAAGTAGATTTGGAGATTTGATAAGACAATGTTGAACAATTCCCCAATCAAGTCTTGATAATTGTTACTTAAAGAGCAAACTCAACAACCTTAAAATAATAAAGCATTAAAGATGAGTTGAAATTTAGAATGACAAGACATTAGGATCTTATCGAAATGCCATAAGGTGTGAATTTCTTTGGTTACAAATAATTGAGACCAAATGAAATTCAAATGGGCAATATTGAAAGATATATGATACGTTTAGTCATTAAAGATTTCACTCATATCGACTCTATTAAGAAATTTATGGACACAAGGAATATGTTTCTCAAATGGTAACGTTTATGGAACAATAAAGTGCAACCATAAAATCTTAATATTTAAAGATTTGAAGGATATTGATTGCATACTAAAGTAGTCCATTAATAAAATTAAAATTCCCGTTAATGATGTTACATTCCTAAGCAAATTATCGATATGTACTTTGAGATAAATAAAGTTAATGATTGTACATACCCAAGGATCAGTGGGAGATAATCTCACAACAAAGGAGACTTGTTTAGTCTCAATTCAATGCCCAATAAATATTTTATGTAAAAGAATGTACACATTCGGTTAAGGTGTGCATAAAGTTAGGCAGGTATTTGAATAACCCTATAAAGTGGATCATTTAGCAAAGCAGCCAAATGGGTTATACAGTAATTATAGGGAATGTAAGTTATATACATATGCTCATTTATCAAAATCAGATATTTTGGGAGATCGTGTGGTTTATTCATGATTTTGATTTTTATGATGCGTATAAAGTATAGATCTATTTTGGTTAATGTAAACCTAAGTGATTGAGCTATTTTGACATGGGTGTTAAGCAAACACTTTAAGCTCTGTTCACGATGGTTAAGAATTTATGGTAATTTTTTGGCATTTTTTTTAATATAGCTATAAACACTTGTCATTAGGCTGCACATGTTGATTTGTATTAAAGTTATACGGTGACAATATTTAACAGCTATACTTTCGAACAACTACAAGAGCTTGTGAAAGTTCTTTGTTGTTAAAGGTACAAAGTGAACAGTACATAGAGCATATTAAGATAAACTCCACAATTGCGGATCCGCTTACTAAAGGATTAACACATAAGGTATTCATGAGCATTGCTCATGTAGGTGTTATATCATTTAAGGATATTTTGGTTCAGTGGGAGTTTGTATGTATTTGTACATATAAATACATTTTGGTAGCTCTATGATATGTTTGGACACAATTTTGTGTATTTGGTTTTCTGCAGAAATAAAGTATTTGACTACACTTTGTACAATTATGTAAAGATTTGGTCTCAATAAAGTTTAAAGTAGGACCAGTTGGAAATAGGCATGTTAAGATCACATTATATGTAATTTCCATGCTACACACCATAATTTGATCTATGTCGTTTGGCTATATTGGTATATGTGATTACTGTTGGGTTTAGACACGATCAATGTGACGAAAGCCTCTTTAGTCCTATATTAGTATGGTAAATGGACGAGATTGTAAGGAATACATTTTTATATGATAGCAATTTTGAGCTCATAAGGTGTACACATTTATAAGGTATATAACATATGTGGCCCAAGTGGGAGATTGTTGGAATTATTTCAATAATTATGTGGGCTCACATATGTGACGTAAATGTGTATGGCTATCTTAAAGAAAGTCCAAATTAATTGTGATCTAATAAAGGTTATTGGGTTGGACTTATGGGTATTAAACTATAATTATGGGCCTAATGTGTAGAGACAATTAGGGCTTAGTTGTGATTTATTGATGGGGCTGAATCACAATTATAATATAACTGGACTCTACAGTTATATAAAGGGTCGTGGTCCCCAAAGAAACGCAACCATTCCATCTCTTCTAAAATCCATCGTTAGAGAGAAAAATAAGGAACTGCGGATTCTTTGGAAGACCGGTCCCAAATCCAGTGGAGATTCGAAGATTCGATTCAATGATGTAAGGTACGCTTCCGTGTTTATGTTTGTGTTTAATTCTCGTTGATTCAAGCATGTTGGTTCTAGGGAATTCGTATGTAAGTACGATAAAATTTCTAACATATTTTTGTTATTTCTTTTAGTTATTTCTATGTTTTTTTTTATTATCGACAGAATTACGTATTTTTAGGTTTATTTCAGTGTGCCGGATTACTACTTGGATAAATGAACAATGTTATTTTTAGGTTTATTTCAGTTTTTGTGTTTCATATTATTTCAGTTCTTCTCTTTCTGGATAAATGAATATTGTTATTTTTGCCCAGTAGAAAATGAAATAAATATTCCTAATTTAATAAGTCTTAATAAACACATTTGCGGTAGCCAAGTTGGTCAGGGTTCTGATTTACTGCCCAATTGACCCGTGTTCGAATCTTGGGCAGCGCGTGTGTATTTTGAATTTTTGCCCAGAAAAACATGAAATGAACAATTATATTTAATTAACTTTATATTCACAAAATCGTTATTCCCTAACTGGCAGGGGAGTGGGCAGTAGCTCAATGTTATCCTGGGTTCGAGTCCTTCATGGAGCCCGAATTTTTGATTTTTTGATTAAAAAATGTAGTTTGTTAAGAAAAGATACAGTAGCTGAAAAACTTTGGCTTGGCAGAGAGCATCACAGCAGCATCACAGAAAACTAAAATATTTTAATAATTCACACAAACATCCATAAATTATAAATAAATTACATAAACATCAAAAAAACTAAAATATTTTAATAATTCACACAAACATCCATAAATTATAAATAAATTACATAAACATCAAACAACATAAAATCACGAGAAAAAAAATCAACTGTTTAGAACGTCCCACAAATGACGTCTACCCGCTAATGCATCGTCCAAATAAGCTACACCGTCCAAATAAGCTACACTATCGTTCCTATACCTCCGCCACTGCATGTCAAATGGAGGCAGTGGACAATTATCATTCAACTTCACATACACAAAATGACTCCCTTCCGCCAGGTATACAATAGTCATCTCGTGCGATAGTTGTGAAACACCAACGGGGGAGAAAAGCGGCAAATACGTCTGATTTCCAGAACTGCTTGTCGACAACACCAAAGCGTTGTAACATGTTGCTACGACCACTCCCACGTCCGTAATAGTCATCCATTTATTTAGCGGTGCCGGTCCATTTTGCCAATGTGCCACACTTGTCATCACTTGATATATGTAATTCCCGCCGCCATAGTAGTCTTTGAAAAACACTTCATTATTTTTGAGAAAATTATAAACATCCAATCTAACATCATACCAATTCTCCTCGTCGCCCTTGACTGCACATGCAACAAACCGGTATCCGCAGTTACCATCGCCTAACACGTTCTTCCACGTCACAACATCGGGTACAAGTGCAAAATGTAGATTCCGAATAAACTCAGGTTGGACAATGCGTTCCGGTTCGGGCCCACTTACAGTAGATGAATGGCCTCGACTACGATTTCTGCTAGATGAATCAGAAGGTGGACCACGACCTCTACTGCCTCGCCGGCCTCTACTACCTCGTGGTCGAGGTTCCCACGCTGACAATTCTCTCTGTGTGGAGTTGTTCCTTGGTCTGCCTCTTGGTCGTTGTACTGACGGCTCATTTAATTCCGTCTCTCCGGGGTGTATCCTTTCAAAAACTATGTCCGCCACATCATTAATCTCAACGTCAGTACGTTGACGCAATTCATCAACCAATCCTTCTAATCTTCCAAGTGCTTGTGTCCTATGATCGGGGACTGAATCGACACTCTCTGCTTGATTGCCATCCAACAAAATCATGGTCCTCCAAAATTTATGGACATCTTCTGCATAAAACACACCACCACGTCTACTCTCTTTAAGATCAATGTCATGTTTGCATGGGAGACCGTGAGTGTTCTTCAAGTAACAATTGCAATTCTCGACATTTTTTTCACGCTCAAGGTCCAAAAGTTTAAGGGCCTCATGCGTGACGATTCCGGAAGATAAAATCCTAAAAATGGGTACATTGATAGTCTTCGCTCGGATCCTCCTTGATTTGCCAAATGTTTTCAGAACCTGATTAAGTTGAATGATCATCTGTGAGTGATATTGTGCCCAAAAGGTGTCAAATCCACCGGTGGACGACGACAACCAATCCTTTACTGCTTTATGACCGCTCTCAACCCTAATTAGTGAACATAGGAAATTTTGTAATTCACAGGTAATATTAAATTACGATTTATATTGCACAAGTAATATTAAATTACCTATTTGTCGAGGTATTGCCGAGGTGGAATACACGATCTGTCCATGCACGAACAAACCTATCTTTGTAAATGAGCCAGGTCGTTTCTAGGTACTCGAGTAGATCCGGATTGTTTCTGTACTCATCAACCATCGCCGCAAGGTTACTTTCGTATTGTGCAACAGATAGTGAAGTTACAACTCTTTGCCAAACCTCACGAACGAAGGTAATTCCTCGAGATTTACTATTACCGAAGCATTGTGCAGCACGACGACCCACATTCCTATTGATATGGAATGTGCATAGAAGATGATATGACTATGGGAACACATTCTCTAACCCCTTTATCAGCCCCAATTCCCTATCAGTCACAACGACCCCCGGTACATTGTTTGGGAGGTATAGCTTTCTCAAATTGTTCAACGCCCATGTATAATGCTCTTCATTTTCATGGCGCATAAATGCCACTGCAACAGTAAAATTCAGACCCTCAGAGCAAACACCAATAATCTCCAACAAAGGCATTTTGTACATATTTGTTTTGTACGTACAGTCAAACAACAGAACGTATGGAAACGGTCTCAACATTTCGACCGACTGAGGGTGAGCCCACATCAGATCAATAACTTCATGCGTAGTTGGATTAGTGCGGATCCACTTATAATACTTATGTTCCTCAAGCAACCCAACCAAATATGGCATAATTGTATGCCCGCCTCTAGCCTCCTTTTTCATTTTCGCCTTTTCATTGTATATTTGTTTCAAATGCACATCTTGTGCCAAGTTCTTCTCTTTCAAATGTATTAAAATTTTCTTCGGCGGCACATGACTTTTTGCCAGCATCCGAGTAATTTCCACCTCCTCTTCAGTCATTTTCGTAGACGCATGCCCAAACAAATGTACGGGATCATGATTATGCTTCCCATATAATATTCTAATTCCCCATCTATCCCCGTAATGTTGCTCTCCCACCAAGTAAAATTTACAATTAATTTTCTTTGTGCCCGACCATCTCTTCTTTGGCACATTTGTGTCCGTTTTACTTGGTCTCTTCGCCCCAAATAGATCACAAGTAAGATATGCTTTATTTGAAGGGCTACTACGGCTCACCAACTTTACACCAAGATTTTTCGCGGTCGTTCTCGCCCATTCTACCATTTCAATCCTCGAGTTAAAAAGTTCCGATACTATAAAATGCTCACTATGATCAACTTCAAACGTAGAAGAATTTTGTTGTTGCTCTTCCTGAAATAATTATGAATAAGATAAGGTTAGAGTAATAACATGATACGATTTATTATTTAATTATTAGTTAGTTAATATTTTTATTATTAATTAATTAGAATAGTTGTTTAGGTTTATATTTTGCCGTGAGTTAGTAGTGGTTAGGTTAAATATTAAGTATTTTATTAGTTTAGGTAATTATCTTTCCTAGTTAGATTAGGATTCTAGGGTTTTATTCTCTTTAAATAGTCGTATTGTGCTAGGGTTTTGATAATGAAGAGAAATAATAAAGAAGAGTTTTCTTACGTTTAGTAAAGAAATCTTATGATACACAAGAGATCGCATCAATTGGTATCAGAGCGAAGTTGCGATTAACACCAACGCTTCGTTAGCAAGGCAGCGATTACATCAAAGCTACGCTGGAGCAAAGTTGAGATCACATCAAAACTTTGTGAAAATCACGATGTCAGAAACAAGACGGTTAGAGCGATTAGAGAAATCCGTAGAGAAATTACGGATTAATTTTCAGAAATTGCTCGAACAAAGTCAAGGACGACGTCAACGCCATCACAAAAGCCGAAGGGACCGCTGCCCGTCACCGCCACAGCCATCGCCACCACCGCCGCCGTTGTCGAGCCTATCGCCGGAGGGAGAGGAAGAGGACGATGATGATTTTTTCGAAGAACCTCAATTTTTTGTGAGTTCGCCGAAAGATGAATTATCGGATTCCGTTGAGGTAATTTGGGATGAAGACGAGAAATTAACCAATAAGGAGATTGAAGAATCACTCGTCTTAAGTGAGATAATTTGGAACGGGCACGAGGAGTTAAGTAGCGAGGAGGACAAAGAATTAAAAAATATAGTGGAAGGATGCCACGACTTCCCGGAGAAAGGAAACGAAGAAGTGCTTGTGATTGTGAGTGAGCCAGATTCTATAAAGACGGTCAAAGAAAAAGTTACGGTGAATGTAAGGAAGACGAAACTTGAAAATACAATTGAGACGAATGTTGATTTATCGGGTAAGAGATTGAGAAATTTCGTTCGGGCAGATGGACTCATGTTTGGAAAAGAGCTCGAGTTTTCATCACGTTTTTCGGATTCAATCGGAAAGAAATTCGATGGCGTCAAGCATAGATGGAAACATAGAAACGAGAGACGATTATTGGGCAGAACCTTGAGGACAAGGTTCATTTCAAGAGGGGTGGTTTGATACGATTTATTATTTAATTATTAGTTAGTTAGTATTTTTATTATTAATTAATTAGAATAGTTGTTTAGGTTTATATTTTGCCGTGAGTTAGTAGTGGTTAGGTTAAATATTAAGTATTTTATTAGTTTAGGTAATTATCTTTCCTAGTTAGATTAGGATTCTAGGGTTTTATTCTCTTTAAATAGTCGTATTGTGCTAGGGTTTTGATAATGAAGAGAAATAATAAAGAAGAGTTTTCTTACGTTTAGTAAAGAAATCTTATGATACACAAGAGATCGCATCATAACAATAATAAAAAAAAAAAAAAAAAAAAAAAAAAAAAAAAAAAAAAGGTTTTGCGCGCCTAAACCGGAAGCCGGAATCAGTTCCGCGCGCCCAAACCGAGCGCGGGTGGTGGGTTTCGGCGCCCAAACCGAACGCGAGTACTAGGATTCCGCGTCCAAACCGGCCGCGGGTAATGGTTGTACGCGTCCGAACCGGGCGCGGGAAATACTACTGGGCGCCCGAACCGGGCGCCGACTACCAGACCGTGCGTTCGATTTGGGCGTGGATCTAGATGTTTCGCGCCCAGTTTACTCGTGAAACGGATTTTTGGGCGTCCAAATTGGTCGTGGGTCGCGTTTTCACGATTTAAAGAACAAAAACGAACAAATTTTACCTCGTTGGATTCCGTATCTCGTTCCTCATTCGATGCACTCATTTTTTTTTGCAAATGGCTACAATAACATGAGTTTTGGAATGATTTCTAACATAAAAGCTAAAATTGTAGAGAGAGAAAGAAAGATAGAGAGTAGATTTTTTAAAACGACATTCGTAATTTTGCTACCGCGAATAGCACCTCCCATCAATTAGGTGTGAAATTTAACTTTTATATATTATATAGATGAACTTTTTTTTTTTCCGGATCGGATCCGTCCTATTTCCAAGCACGAGTGAGGAGCTTACTAAAGATTGGAAATTGACAACAACTTTTGTAGATGGAATTCGACTGATTTACATCCATGTAACAAACAAGTACAACAATATCACTCATATAATATAACATCTAATTAGCCCTCAATAATTATTGTGTTCGCAAACAGCCCCACTATCATTCTTTCACTTTTACATCATGATTTCCTATCACCAACACCCCCACCCACCCACCCCACCCCACCCCACCCCACCCCACCCTCTGTAAATATATAATATTTCTGACCTTCTCTCTCTTTCCGCCTCTCTACTCTCTCTCTCTCTCTCTCTGAAAAGAAAAGAAAAGAAAAGATTCCTACACACAGACATGCAGAGGAGTTATATATGCCTACGGCATTCCATACAGATTTACCATAACCTAACCTTTTTCCCTAATTTTTAGGGATTTTCACACTTATTTCTCTTTTGAGGGAATTAATTCCTTTTTTCTTTTTTTCTCGACGAACAAACAAATTTGATGGAGGAGCCAATGGGGCGAAGATTTGCTGTAGGATACGCTTTGGCATCTAAGAAACAAGCAAGCTTCATTCAAATTTCTCTCATAAATATCGCTAAAGAGAAGAGCATCGATCTAATCAAGATCGATTTGGAAAAGCCCTTAATTGAACAGGGCCCCTTCAATTTGGTTATACACAAAATCTACGGCGCCCAATGGAGGCAACAGTTGGCTGAATACTCTGCAAAGAACCCTAATGTTTTGATTATTGATTCCCCCGATGCTATCGAAAGGCTCCACAATCGTATTTCTATGCTACAGGTTGTTATGGAGTTGAGTGTTATTGAATGCGAAGATGCTGTTTCTTTCGGGATACCTAAGCAGATTGCGGTTTACGATGCGAGTGAGGTGTTGGATATGAATTTGGAGGGTCGAGGTTTGAAGTTTCCGGTGATTGCTAAGCCGTTGGTGGCCGACGGAAGTGCAAAATCGCATAAAATGTCGTTGGTGTATAATCGGGATGGGCTGAGTAAACTAAAACCGCCGGTCGTGCTGCAGGAGTTTGTGAATCACGGTGGAGTCATATTCAAGGTGTACGTTGTTGGAGATTACGTCAAGTGTGTGAAGAGGAAATCTTTGCCCGATGTGAATGAGGAGAATTTAGGGAGTTTAAAGGGTTCGTTATCGTTTTCGCAGGTGTCGAATCTGAATTGTGTGGAGAGGAGTGGAGATAGTTATTACAAGATGATGGATTTGGATGATGGTAAGACGGAGATTCCTCCGATGAAGTTGTTGGTGGATATCGCGAGTGGGCTGAGACGTGCGATGGGGTTGCATTTGTTCAATTTTGATGTGATTAGAGACGATAGGATTGGGAATAGGTACCTTGTCATAGACATTAACTACTTCCCCGGATATGCAAAGATGCCTAGCTATGAGCATGTTTTGACCGACTTTTTCTGGGATGTTCTAAATCACACTAATAAAAAGGAGATTGATTTGGATTTGGATTTGGATTCGGATACTAGTGGTTGCAAGAATGAAGGGAGTATGTTGGTTAGTAGTAATGCTGATGTGGACGATGGAGCTGCAAATCGCATACTTGTTGTTGATGAAAAGGAGAATCCAATCCAAGTTTAAGAACAAGGAAGGAGCTACACGACGCATTTCTTCATGATGTAGCAATATGAAGCTTATCCGTTCACACTAGTTAGATTTAGCTTGTTCTTTCAGATCTAGATACGAGAATTAGTAGATTAGTTAATAAGTAGGATATGCTTTGAGTCTGCTGCAAAATAGGCATGAGGTTGTGCGCTCTGCTCTGCGCTGTGTTGATCATGTATATTCCAGTTAGTTGCTGAGACGCATAATTTCAGTGGAGATGGGTAATTCTCAAATACTCTCTGTTTTTTTCTTTTCTTTTCTTTTAATGTTTTACTTGGTTGCAATTCTATTACCTACCTGGCTGAGGAAATTGTTTCGATATCTATTATGTAGAGTAGTAAGTACGGTCATATTTAATTTATATCATGTGCACTGTTTGATCGACAGAGCCTGTTGTTATAGAGTCACCATATGTGTAATATGGTAAAACGATAAAGCAAGTGTTAATAAGAGATGAACTGAAGTGTGAGAAAAATCAAGAAAACTTGAACGTAGAAGGTAATGATGTAGTAAGAATTACATGTGGATTATCTAGTGCTCACAACTTAGCCTGAATTAGATGGTTTAGATGAATAGAGAGTCATTAAACTGGTAAAATGCACACTTATACCGTTACATGCAGGTATTTCAGATAGGATTACGGTTACATAATATAGGATTATTAGAAACTGTTTGAAAAGGTTTTGGTTAGTATTCTTGTGAACATAAACTGTGTGGTCGAAGGAGATTGTTGTGTTACTAAGATGAACAGTAACATATAATGGTTTAACGTAACTAACATGGAAAACATAACCACCGTATATATCTACTGCTTTGATGTTTGTTTTCGTGCGCTAAAAAGTTGCTGAACACAAGTGTTGTATAGTTCAATATCCAGTCTCAGAGTCTAAAAATCTCAAGTTCGAACCCGATAAATCAAATATTCAATATACAAACACCAACAATACCGACAAACAACAGCAACAACAAATAATAATAATAATAATAATAATAATAATAATAATAATAATAATAATAATAATAATAATAATAATAATAATAATAATAATAATGAAAAAGATGATGGGATGGAATGGAATATTGTTAGCCTTGTTGTTGGTTCTGTAGGTTAATCAACTTAAAATAGGCTCCATCTTTGTTCTCTAATAGAGTAGAATGAGTCCCTTGCTCTATTATCTTACCATCTTGCAATACTGATATCTGATGTGCATTCTTTATTGTCGACAGCCTGTGTGCAACCATCACTGTTGTCCTATTCTTCATCAATCTGTCTAGTGCTTGCTGTACAACTCTTTCCGATTCTAAATCAAGAGCGCTCGTTGCTTCGTCCAATAGCAGTATCGAAGGGTTCTTCAATATAGCTCTTGCTATTGCCACCCTTTGCTTCTGCCCACCCGACAGTTGTACCCCTCTTTCCCCTACTTTTGTTGAGTAACCTTCCGGAAGGCCGCTTATGAATGTATGCGCGTTTGCCTGTTTTGCTGCTTCTATTATTTCACCCTCTGTCGCCCCTTCTTTCCCGTACAGTATGTTTTCGTATATTGTTGTTGCAAACAGTGCCGGCTCTTGCTGTACCAAACCTATGTGTCTTCTTAACATCTTCAGCTTCACTTTCTTTATGTCTTTCCCATCTATCATTATTTTGCCAGAAATAGGATCGTAAAACCTTAGTATTAGTGCAATGACCGAGCTTTTACCTGAACCACTTTGTCCAACTAATGCCATACTTGTTCCTATATCGACTCTTAGATTGAAGTCTTTGAAGATCAACACATTGGGTCTCGATGGATAGCTGAATTCGACATCTTTGAGCTCGATTGTACCTTGTACTCTACCAATATCTTCTCCCACATCGTTTATTATCTCAGATCTTCGGTCAAGCACTTCAAATACAGACTCCACCATTTTGTTGCCCTTTAGAATGTCCGGTGCCATGGCTAGTGTTTCCCCCATAGCTAATGCTGTCACAATCAGTACCATAAATGACTTCATCACTGATTTGAAGCTCGCTAGCTCCTTCTCCATCAGGGTCGAACCGTACCTTTTTTTTTTTTGGTATATAATAATAATAATAATTAAAACATGAGTTTATTTGAAAATTTGAGGAAAATAAAAACAAAAAGGGGAGAGAGAGGATGAATGATGGTGCGTACCATAAGGCGAGACCGTAAGAGGAGAAGATGAAGAATTGAGAGACGCCATAAAAGATGCCAGCAGCTTGGCCGCGCCTGAAAGAACTCTGAGAGGGTTCGATAAGTTGGCGAGAGTAAAGATCGAGTACCTTTTCCTCTGAGCAGAATGCTGCTACTGTTCTTATGTTACTCACTGCCTCTCCAGCAAGCATGTTTGCTTTCAGATATGCTTTGTTCAGGTCTACCCCATACCCTTTCATGAATAGTTTCTGCAAACCACCACATCGAAATTATTTCTTTTTTATATATATATATTTAAATACTATACGATGAAAAATATTCTTACTGCGTGCGTACCTCGCTAATATGACCACTAATGATCAAGGGATAAGTGGCCATGACCACAAGAGTGAGCCTCCAGTTCAAGATGAAGGCTATGATAAAAGATGTCACAATTAAACCGACATTCTGCAGAAGTATTGTCGAACGATCCACCACTACTGTACGCAACAGAGTTGCATCGCTTTCCAGTTGTGATGCAAGCATCGAGCTCGTGTTGTTTACATCATCAAACCATCCTATCTCGTTTCTCAACATAGCTGCATCATTATTTATCAAATTAATAAAACATGAATTAGCCTTCTCTTTATATATATATATATATATATATATATATATATATATATATATATATATATATATATATATATATCGTTGTCTACACATTCCTGAAAGAAAGAAAGAAAGAAGAGAAGAAGTTTACCAGTGAACATCTTCTCTCTAACACGAAGGGTAAGTCGTTCACCCATGATACCGAAACAGAGATGCGTAATAGCATGAACAAAGACAGTAATAACAGCCCCTCCACAGAAGAGGAATGCAATTTTTCTAACTTCTCTACGAGTGGTGTCCCAATCCATGTAGTAAGAAACGAGCGCCTGTGTGACACCAAGTGCAAATAGAGGCATTTGTGCCCCTGCAATAAATGCACATAGTGTTCCAAAAACCCCATAAAACCAATCCGGACGCACCATTGAATACAATCTCCCCGAAGAAATATTCAACTCTTTCGCAACACCATCAGCCCCACCTCCATCAACACCAAATCTGCTCATCGATTTCTCTGAACGGAAACTTGTACCACCACCACCATGGCTTCTTGTTGTTGTGCGCGATAATTCCCTTGAAAATCTAATGCTCCCTTCACGTGAGTACCTTATGCTGAAAAACCCACATCAAACGATATTTTAATTAAATAAAAAAAGTAACAATAAGTTTATTTATAAAAGTTGTAATAAATTAAAAAAAAAAAGAAAAAAAAAGAGAGTAAATACCTGAGAGGGCGGGACATTGTAGGGCCGTGAGAAGGCAAACGGTGCAGAGAAGCAGCCTCTTGTAGCTGAACAAGGGAAGCATATGAACTGTTTGGCCTCGAAATAAGCTCTTCATGGCTTCCAGTTTCAACAATGGCACCGTTATGTACAACAGCGATGACATCAGCATTCCTAATTGTAGATAAACGATGAGCAACAACAATAGTTGTCCTACCCACCATCACACGGTCAAGTGCCTCTTGTACACTCTTCTCAGACTCAGCATCAAGTGCACTTGTAGCTTCGTCCAACAACAATATTGATGGATTCTTCACTATTGCACGTGATATCGCTATTCTTTGCTTCTGCCCACCCGACAGCTGTATCCCTCTCTCACCCACCTGTGTTTCGAATCTATCCGGCAGGTTGCTAATGAAGTTAATTGCCTCCGACAGTTTAGCGGCACGCGTGATCTCTTCGGTGGTTGCATCATCTTTGCCGTAGAGAATATTGTCCCTAATAGTAGTTGCAAATAGGGCAGGCTCTTGATTAACCAAACCTATCTGGTGACGAAGCCACTTAAGATCAAGATCTCTTATATCATTTCCATCTAATAGAATATGTCCCGATACAGGCTCGTAGAATCTTTCTATTAAAGATATGACTGTGCTCTTCCCGGATCCACTTCCTCCGACAAGTGCTACTATTTTACCCGGAGGAATTTCCAGACAGAGCTTGTTGAATATCAAACTGTCTGGACGAGAAGGGTAGCTGAACGTCACGTTCTTGAATTGGATGTGGCCGTCAACTTTACTCAGTTTTCTACCGTTTTTGGAGCTTGTTTTACTCACTGTGTTCCTCTCGATCATCTTGAAAATGGGGTATGCTGCTGTCTTTGCTCTAATAAATGCTGTGATATCGGGTGCCGCTTGCCCCAGTGACCTTATAAAATAACCATATTAATTGCATGATTAATAATGAATGAAATTAAAAGAAAAACGAAAACGGAAAAAGGAAAAAAGGGGATGTAAGTACTCACAAGCCAGCGATGACAACATTGAGCATAGTGGTAAAAGACTCGCCGCCATTGGCGATGTTCTTATGAACAACAATGCTAGTGAACCAAACAAGCAAAGACCACGAAAGGAAAAGTACGCAATGCAAAGTACCGAGGCCAAGACCCTTTGCCAAACCGGCCTTTTTCCCGTATTTGTAGGTGTTGAATAGAGAATTTGTGTATAGTTTAACAGCCTTTTCTTCACCAGAGAAGGCTTGAACAGTTCTCACATTAGCAATAACCTCTTCCGCAATTTCACCAGCTTTCACGTAAGATTTACGAACACGAGCAATAAGACCGGTTGCCACGTAGGCATAAATGCCACCAGCAACAGCAATCAAAGGGACAATGCTAAGTGTAACCAAACTAATTTGCCATACTCTGATGAAACCAATTGTGAAACCTGCTAAGAAACGGCTTATATAGTGCAGAAAGTTCCCCACCTGCATGTTTTTATTTCATCAAACAACAAATACTTTAATATTGCATTTTTTATTTTTTCTTTTATAATTTGGGTCGTTGACTACAACTACATATATTCGGGTCAAAGAATTCCATTTATCGATCCTGGGTAAAATTTTGACTCTACAAAGTAACATTAACAAAAAAAAAAAAAAAGTAACAGAAAACGAAATAAATCTATCTGTCACGGTTTACTTGAGGACTGACTGACTGACTTCTCTCACCCACCTAAAACTAAAAGTATTTATGGGCATGTGCCAATTTATTCAAATGAGAAATAATAAATAAATAGGGTGTTTGTTTGTTAGTTTGTTATCCCCACCCACCCAACTATCTATCATCAATAATGAATCATCTATCTACCCCAGAATCAAATACATTTAACACCGCCAGCCCACCACCACCACCACCACGCTCATGGCTCAAGTGATGACCGCCGCCGAGCCTGGCATTTACTACTACTACTACACATAAACATACTAATTAGTGGCCAGGATTATTATTAATTAACTAATTAATTAATGATAATTAATATATTCATCTAACCTTTTCAGAAATGGCATCTTGGACAACAATGATGTCAGTAGTGATTGCAGAAATGACTTCTCCGGTGGATGATTCTGTATCAAATATGCTTATATCTTGACTTAGCATTGACCGAACATACGCCATCCTCATCTTTGCTGCTTGTCTCTCCCCGGAGTGCATCCAACAAGCCACCTCTTTATTTAACATTTATTTAATTTTGTTTTTAAACATTCAAATAATAATAATAAACAATGTAATGTAATTTGTTACCTGTCCATGATGAAAACATAATTACTATGCTGAGATACACAAAATCCAGTGAATACTGCCCACATAAAAAGAAATGTTAATAATACTAATTAGATTATGTATGTATGTATGTATGTATGTATATATAATTGAATTTGGAATGATGGATGGATAGGGTACCATGGCAACTTTGGAGGAAGCTTCCTTGGGGAAGAGATAAGCCAAGCCAATAATATTGATTAACTTTCCGAAGAAAATGAAGAAAATAGGGACAGAAGCTCCATGCACACAAGCACCTATTGATCCAACAAACATCAACAAATAGTCATAACTATCTGCAAATGCAAATAGCTTCCCAAGTGATACTTTTTTATTATTATTATTCGACGACGACGACGATGAAGATTTCTTCTTCTTCTCTTCATCATCATCAAAATCTTCCCCCTTGGAATTAATGGAGAAAGAAGAACCTGCTCCTGCTCCTGATTGGTGGCTCATTATATTTCCAAGAAATTAAACGATTTCTTTGCTTCTTTCCTTCTTTTTTTATTTTATTTTTATTTTTTGTGATGGATGGTTGGATGGAAGGAGGAAATAAAGAATTAGGGAGTGAGATTTAGAGAGGGTATAATAATAATAATAATAATAATAATATTGACCATCAAGAATAATTGCTTGTGTATTTCATTCTTGGAGGGTGGAAGTTGAGGTGATGAGCATTTACTCACATCTATAATATTAATATTAATAATAAGGGAACTAACTGGTTTTAGCGGTGATTATTATTGGCTCGGAGGGATGAGATACATACATATAATTAATGCATCATCGATCAGCTTTTAAAATATATAGATGTATGTATGTATGTATGTATGTATATTGGTAGCTCCTTTTTCCAGCTTTACACAGACAGTTGAAGTGTTGGAATTTATGATACAACTACTCCCAACCATTATAGTCAATTACACTTGTTTGTTTTCAACTCTCCCATATTTGACATTTCTTCTCTATACAACAATTCCGATCCTCTACGTATGCATTACTATTATTATTATTATTATTATTATTTTTCACAACAATATATATATAATTGTTACGTATGTTGTAGGGATATATATATCCATCTTATTCTACAGCTTTATTTTTTAATAAAGTTCCATTGTATTTTTTAAGTATTGCAGCTTGACTCTAACAAGGCCACACAATATTCTTAGAAAGTGACTTTTCTTTTACATTAATGTTTCTTTATTTTTGGGACCAACTTTGCTATAAATCCCCATTTTCTAATTTCACTACCAAAAGTCACCCCCATTTATTTCTATTTGCTATTACAATTCCTCACGTCAAATAATAATGAAAAACTTGATTTCGACTTCCTCGAGCTTGTAATATGGCCTAATTGGTGTAGCAGCAGAGCGTCACTCACGTATAACGACTCGAGTTCGATTCTCCATGCCAATATTTTCTATCTCAAGTTCGTCCCACAAGGTTTTTCCAGTGTAGTTTATATTTTCATGTGGTTTTCAAGGGTAAAATTCATTTTAGTCCCTAACATTTGCAGTCAAAATTAAATTCGTCCATGTGGATTTAATTGCGTTCAATGTCATCCCTAGAACACAATTTCACCGTCAAAACTAACCTTTTCTCATAGAATACCCACATTACCCTTGGAAAACATTGGGGGCTAAAAATGAAGATTCAACCTCAATGCCCCTTGTAACAGTATCTCAAAATAAAATTATGTTTAATTAATAACATTTTGAAGAACTTATGGGCAAAAAACATAAAGAATAATTATGTATAAAATGGCCATTGCCATAATCATCTCTATATTATTTTTTTCCTATCAAATTTGTTGCTCATATTATTTGTTGGAAATTGATAACTTTTTGGATCTGTTTTCGTTGGAAACTGAAAATTTACACTAATTAAGAAAGGGCTCTCCTCCGACTAAAATTGTACTTTTGAATTAATATTTTTTTTTTATCAAACCACATTAATTAGTCTTTCATATAGGATTATATTTTGTGAAAATTTGAAAAATTCGCAGATTAAAGGTATACCGAGCACCTTTTAATATATGATGGAATTTTAAGCTTTCAACGATGATCAAAATTATCAGAAAATAGTATTTCTATGTCAAAATGTAATGGGACCAATTTCCTAAATAATAAAAGAAAAATCAACAAAGATTAAACATCAGATCACCCTTGTTAAATTGGGACAATTTGTTAAACACATTTACCACTAATATCCTTTCAAATCAGGACGGCCTGATTTTGCATATTTGCTAAAACTAAAAGTATACTTCGATACCATTTTTTTACCACATTTACCATATTCAGTGGTCCTCTTTCATGGAATACTTACATTTTCGCAATCACATCTCCCTCAAATCATGTAGCTAACCAAAGTGAACCAACAACTACTGTTCATATCCTTCAAATGTGTATTTTACAAACGCAATTTGCTTTTTCAACGACTGATATGTGTGAATTTTTGCGTGTCACTGTGTGTGTGGTAGTCAATTCTTATTCAATATAAACGACGACAGAGGAAGACGATTGTGGCGGGGTGAATACGACGGTTGTGGGATGGCGGAAGACGATGGCGGTGCATCGAAGATATTGATGAATCTGGAATAGAAGAGAAAAGGGGAAGAGGGAAGGAGTATACTGGAGGTGAAGGAGATCGGTAATTCCAAATATTTCGATACGATTTTTTACCGAATTAATTCATTTTTTTTTTGTTTGGTACCGGTTAAACCGGAAATATTTTAAAAAAATGTAAAAAAATATATTTAAACTAATTAATTCTTGGATTTGCCATTCAAATTTCAATAACCGGCCCTAAAAAAAGTGAGTATCAATAGAGGCTAATTGTAAATAATGGAAACAAATTTATTAATCTAAAAGTATTTTATAACCTTAAAGAATTTAAAATAAAAGAAAAAATAAATATTTATTAAATATTTCGGTATTCGGTACGGTACGGTATACCACACATCAATACTGTATACCTCGAATACCGGAATTCTTACAAATCTTTGCCGAATACACAAATTCCACAAAATCTTTGCCGAATATTGAACCGAATTTTCGATTCGGTATTTGGCACCTACCAAATTTTCGGTTCGGTATTTGGCACACACCGAATTTTCAGTTCAATTCTTTTCGGTCGAGTGAACTCCCCTACTAATCTATCCTTATACCATACACTATATATGTGTGTACAATTATTTGCTTAAGTTCAGTAACTAAGTTCTCCTTGTAGTTTTCATATGTGTATACTTCTCTGTGGTGTGCATCTATTCATGTACTGATAATGCTCAGTCGAATCTCTCTAAATAAGCTTTTCGGGATCGTGCTAAGCTCTCTAAGTATGCTATATATGCTATTGAGTGCATATATTATATACTTTTAAGTTGTAGAGTTCCAAAATCTATTGTTGGTCAGGTTGCACTATCAAAGAGTGCCCAAAGGGTAAACTTGTTTGTTCAGTGCCCATATAACCTAATTAAATGGCTCCAGAGATTTTAAATGGTACCAAAATCCAATTAGAGGAACTTTAGCAAAATGATAAATAATGTATGTACTTTCAGCGGTACCTAATATTTTTCAGGGAACTTCAACTTATAATCCATTAAATTAGTTATTACAAACGATGGAATGAATCTAATGTAGTTATTACAAAAGATGGAATGAATCTAATGTAGTAACCGTCATACATTCAAAAGTCAAAATGTAATGTCACTAAAGTATATTTGGGCGAATGACAAAAATGCCCATTACATGGGACTTAAATACATTTTGGTCCAAAAAAAAAACAGTCTCTCAATTAAACCCATCTCCATGTCTTTAGTCTAAAATACCCTCAATAATATAATTCTTATCAATTCCACCCATTATGCTCTAATGTGACACCCATTTTCTAATTACACTTACTTAGTAGTTTAAAATATGCTAGCGGAAGACTTATAGAAAATAATGAGTGTGGAATGCTCGTTTTAAAAATCACCTTCTACCAATAGAAAGTTACGCATAAATTTTTCTTTTAAAATCAGAGGGAGAGTGTCCACATAATACTATATCATATACACTTCACCAAATATCACAAAAGGAACATGCATGACTAGATTATTGAAATTATCAAAAGTAAAGATTAGGAATTTCGGACAGATTTGGTAGATCAACTTAGAAAATTAATATCTCTTGAACCCTTCATGAAAACACTTTGAAAATTTAATCACATACTCTAATATGGGTCAAAATTTCTCAGTTAAAACAGTTTTAAAATATCATTAGCCATTTGAGAGAAATAATTAAACATATGCAACTGTACAGTTTAAAAATCCAGAACAGGAGAGGGAGCTTTGAAAATTATTTATAAATTCCCTACTGTTCTAAAAACTACCAAATTTTATACGAAAGTAGATAAGTGAGTTAGAAACATATTCCAAGTTAAATGGATTCATTTGAGTAAGAAAACTTCATATATTGATGCATGTCCTAAAATGACTCAGCATGTGCACAGTTACGGAAATTAATTCATAATAAATTCCTGACTTGTCCAAATGATGCAAAAGACCTACCAAAATAACCCTAACAGAAAGACCTACAACTCTGTAAAATTTCATGCAATTCTAAACAGAAAGTATATTTAATACGGATTATCGAACAACAGGGCAGAACACAACAAATAATTAACCGATAAGCATTATATAGAAGTTTGGCAAAAAGAGGAAATCAAAATCCTAATTATTATTAGATGCAATGTTCTTACTAATAAGATCCCCCGAGGGGTGGAAGAGTATGATAATAGATATCTAAGACGGTATCGAAAGTCTTTAAAATTAAACTATATAAGTAAAACAATATGGCTAAATTAAGAGCACACAAGATCCACACGCCTTCCATATGAACACATCCCTCGATCCTCGAACTCGACTCCAACTTTACGACTCGTGCTCGGGATTGAAAGTACCTACAAGCATTTCAACACCTATATGAGTCTTTTGGACTCAATGAGAATTTCGAAGAAATACCGAATACACATAGTCAAACAAGCATATATTTATGATATGTATATATGTATATATCCCATCTCAAATCACACATATACACAATAAAAACATTTCGATTTTACCTCAATCGTCATTTCATTGAGGAACTTTACCAATTTACCTTTACCTTCTCGGATTACCTCTTAGACCTTCCTTTCATCATTTCATAAGGAATAAGAGTAAATCCCTTACAAGGGAGTCGTCATTCTTTTACACACACATTCATTCAAGTGCTCATACAATGTGTGAGAAAAACATTTTTGTTCGGATATCCTTTGGAAAAATCAAGTAAAATCATAGACAATAAGCCTTCATTTATTTGGAACCCGTTTCATAAGTGGAATCAAACCACACACTCTTCATATCATTTTTGGGGTACCGGTCCCTCATACCCCGTGCTTATTCGATCTATGTTTTACAAGATTTCCCAACTTTAAAAACGTGCAAGTGAAGTTAGTATATATTCTTCATTTCACATATTCAAAGTTAGCTTTCACATAAGCACACATATTTCCACATATTTCACAAAGGCACATAGTTTTGTCACAAAATCACAAAAGCAAGTAAGACACACAACAACTCAAACAAAGAACATAGATCACATATTTACACATATAGCAAAACAACTAAAAGCATTCGATTATTTATAATTACTATCACCAAGTTTCATTAATTAAAGTTCAAGCCCTCTTTCTCAAGAGACTTGAAGTTTTCTTTCAAGTAGCACCAAATTTTCATTTATTTCATTTTCTTTCCAAAATATTCGAACCATCAACAATTCAATCACACAAAATTCCATTTTTTTTATTAATCTTGTCCTCGGTTTTTATCTTCGTATATTATCTTATTACTCATAGATCATAAACCATGGATTGCAAGCTTCCTCGACCCGAAGGGAGTACACTTACAACTGCGTAGGTCGATATATATATGCACATAGAAACATATACTTATATATATAGCACATATAGATTATAAATAAACCATGGATCAAGTACTTTCTTCGACCACGCAGGTTTACGAAAACCATGGATCGAAGTTTCCTTAAGATCACGCAAGTCTAGTATATATACATAAATAAAATTACAATATTATTCTTAGTTCTTCAAGATTATATCATTTAAAGCTTAGATTCTTACATGCATGGATGATCAAAGCACAAATTAAACACAAAGTTTTATTTTCTTCCTCCTTTAGTTTTCGGTCACCACAAGAACATTAACAAGAAATTAAAGAGAAGAAAAATACTATTGGTGTTGAAGCACTTGTAGCAAGAATTCGAAAATTCTCACCTTAATCTCCTTAGAAATTTGGAAGGGTGTTATTTCCTTTCTACAAGGAGGAGAAGAAGAAATTTTAGAGAGAGAGGAAGAAGAAGCTTAGCTTCTTGAAATTTTCGAAAATGAAGAAAAGAAAGAAGATGAAGAACACTTACTCCTTTGGCCAAGAATTTTATTCTTGAAAGAGAGATTTTGGGGCTTTCCTACACTTCTAATTTCGAAAATGGAGGAGAAGAGAAAGAGATTTTGATCTTTAGAATGTGGAGAGAAAAAATGAGAAATCGATGAAGGCTTGGGTTCTATTTATAGAGTTGTGAGGGACTTGCATGCTTAATGATTAAGGAGTGGTCTCTTTGCAATTTAGAAAAACTTAGGAATTATCTAGAGGGACTTCTTTGCAATTTCATTTAACTCTCCAAAAGAAATTCAAAAAAGGAAAATCTTAATGTACATGGGCTCACCTAGAGAAGGATTGTACTCAAGGAAAATATTTGGTCCTGTGTTGTACCATGGTCAAAATTGAGGGATGAATAGGAGGGATTTTCTATTTTTATTTAAGAAAATATGTGATTTAAAAATTCTCCTAACAAATAAGTTCTAGCAAATAGAGGAGTATAATTAATTTCTAGATTAATAATTAACTAAGATGATCGATTTAAATTCGTCCAAAATTATTTCGGATTAATGCATTCTATATGAAACTTCACCGGTTATCACATAAATAAAATCTTAAACTAATAAACGCACATAAGAAATAAAGTCACGTTAATTAAATAGATGCTAATTAATGAAAAATTAAATTACCGGAGTCGTGGGGTGTTACATCTAACTTCCTTAATATTACACATTGACCCTGAATTTAAACAAATATATCACATTAACCCCCAAAACTTTTTTTTTCAGAAAATAATTTTTTTTTCTGAAATATTTTTTTTCTGGCCAGATTCCGGCGCTGACCGCCGGTCTCCGGCGTTGACATTTTTTTTTTTAAACTTTTTTTTTTCCTGAAATTTTTTCCGGCCGGTCAACCACCTTGGACCGCCGCTCTCCGACGTTGACTTTTTTTTTTTTTTTTGAATTTTTTTTCTTAGAAAAAAAATTAATTAATATTACTGTTTTGGCTACTAAATTACTGTCTCAGACGGTAATATTACTGTTTGGGACAGTAATATTATGAATATTATTTTTTCGAACAGTAATATTATTAATATTATTGTCTAAGACAGTTAAATTACTGTTGGAGACAGTAGTTTAGCATCCAAAGCAGTAATATTAATTAAAATATTTTTTTTAAGAAAAAAAATAAAAAAAAAAAGTCAATTAACAGTTAAATAACTGCTGGAGACAGTAATTTAGCAACGAATACAGTAATATTAATTAAAAATATTTTTTTTAAGAATAAAAAAGTCAATTAACAGTTAAATCACTGTCTCCAACAGTTAAATAACTGCTGGAGACAGTAATTTAGCAACGAATACAGTAATATTAATTAAAATATTTTTGAAGAAAAAAAAAAGTCAATTAACAGTTAAATTACAGTCTCCGACAGTTAAATAACTGCCGGAGACAGTAATTTGGCAGCCAAGACAGTAATATTAATTAAATTTTTTTTAAGAAAAAAAAAATTATAAGAAAAAAAAAAGTCAACGCCGGAGACCCGGCGGTCAACGGCAGTTGACCGGCCGGAAAAAAATTTCAGGAAAAAAAAAGTTTTTCAAAAAAAAAAAAAGTTTTGTGGGTTAATGTGATATATTTGTTTAAATCCGGGGTCAATGTGTAATATTAAGGAAGTTAGAGCATAATGGGTGGTATTGATAAGAATTAGGGTTAAAATTGGGGTCAAAATTGAAATTAGGGTTAAAATTGGTTAATTGATGAAATTGGGCTAAATTGGGGTGTAAATCATGAAATTGGAGTTGAATTGGGTTTCAATGAATTGGGGGTAATTTTGGTATATATAAACGTGTTTTTCTTATTTGCAAATAAGTTTGAATGGGCTGGATTTATTTGAAAGACAAAAAAGTTAGATGTCCCTCTTTTAATTAAGTGTCCTTGTCATGTGCCTATTTGTCATGTAGAATATCCGTCGTAATATAATTTTTATCTATTCCATCCATTATACTCTAACTTCCTCAATATTACACATTGACCTCGGATTTAAACAAATATATCACATTAACCCGAGCCCAAATTCTATCTCGAATAAAGCTGAAAATCTCCTTCCGTGTACGTCCAAGGGTTATTCGCATCCCCAAATACTTATCAAAATTATCAACTATGAGAAAACCAAGTTTCTGTCCAATCGATTGTTTCAGCCCTATTGGTAAACCCGGGCTAAAAGTCATAGACGATTTTTCAAGATTAATGAGCTGATACTCTTGCAAATTTCTCCAAGACACGTTTAAGTGTTGTCGCCTCTTCCTCAGTCGCTCTACAAAAGATTAAGGTGTTGTCTGCAAATCAAAGGTTTGTTAGAATTGGTGTTGCAGACGCAATTTGAACACCTTGAATTATGCCTCGGCTTTCTTCATGCTTAATCATCGCAATTAGGATCTCTACACACAATGTAAACAAATACAGAGAAAGCGGGTCTCCTTGACGAAGACCCCGGGACGGACGAAGCTGACCACACTGAGAGCCATTCACAAGAAAAGAATAAGTGACAGTAGACGCACAAAGCATAACAAGCGGTCAAGAAAAGAGTTGTGAAATCCAAATCTGACTAACACCTCTCGAAGGAAGTTCCATTCAATGCAGTCATATGCTTTACTAATATCTAGTTTAGCAGCCATAAAGAATTTCTTTTTCCTAGAAGTGGTTTGAATGTGATGGTTAATTTCAGAAGTTACAAGAGTATTATCGGTAATAAGGCGTTGAGGAACAAAAGCCGATTGGGTAGGAGATATAATATCGTTTAAGATATTCTTGAGCCGATTGTGAATCATTTTCGAACCTATCTTATAAACGACATTACATAAACTAATGGGGCGGAAATCCCTAACACTTATCGGTTTCTTTTTTTGGGATGAGGACAATATGAGGAAAAAAATGAGATTTTGGGAATAGCCAAGTGCATCCACTATGATATCCTTTCTTGTTTACGTTCAATACAAACATATCCCATTTCGTCTTTAGAGTTGCCGCATCACATTTAGTCTCCGATAAAAATAGCAGATCGGGGTTAAATTTTCGAAGAAGAATCCCAATACATTGAACTATCAAGGGGCCCCCGAGCCCCTAACAATTCCAAAAAATACAGCTCATTAAAAACAACACCCACCCCTTCCTCCTCTTCTTACTATGATTTCCAGGATAACTATTATCAGACAAACCAGATCTGCCCAATATTGAGATAGATAGCCAATACGAAAATATGTGGGCAATGAATAAATAATTGGAAAAAGATCTAGGGTTTAGGACAAATGTTATAAGGTTCTGAAGGCTTAAAGAAGATTACAAGTAAAGCAATTGCCACAACTAATTAGGCTACAAGGATCTAGATCAGATCAAAAAAACCTGCAAAATCCTTTGGAGAAGCCTCTCACATGGAGAGAGAAAAAAACCTCTCACAGAGAGAGAAAATCGTAAATCGTTCGCTCAAAAATGCATTTCAATTTTCATTTCAACTCATAAATTGAAATTGGATGGAAAAATGAAATTTGTGAAAATTTATGTAAACTTTAAACTTTCGATTCCAAGGCAAATGTTTTTTAGAAAAAAAAAAACATGAAATTGAAAATCGACGAAATTTGGAAGGTATGTAGTGGCATGGTTACATACATCAACACGCGATAGAAATTCCAAAAAATAAGAGTAATATACAGCCACCAACATTTGAAACTCTCTGTTCCTTTATGCATTGTTCCTTGGATTATTCGAAGTCTTATCAGTTGATTCTTCTTCTTCTTTATTTTGAGAATTATCGATGATGCTCTTTTCGCTCGATTCTTCTTTTTCCTTTTCTTGTTTAGTTTGAGAAGTACCAATAATGTTCTTTTCGCTGGCGGCTTTCAAACGGACTGGTCTTCCCAACAATTCCTACGTACATGAAGATACATACATACATACATACTGTCATCATTACTATTCGGAACAATATAACTAATGCAATCCTAGACCATATATAATCTGGCATTATCAAATCAAATGATGGTGTGTAGTTAACCAGATATTTTGTTCAATTGCTATTTTCATACCCTTCTACTGAAAGCTGTATCATCAAATAATTACAAAGATACTGAAGTTGCTTTATTATAGCAAATTCATATGCACCACCATATTTACATAACAAGTGAATCACTTATTAGTTTTACTACCACAGTCGCAATATTTTAGAGTAAAATTATTCCCCTTAAAGATGTTAAGGTTTTTCCAAATACAAGTTTGTTTGTAAAGATGTTCCAAATTAATCAAATGATATAAAAAAAAAAATCAAATAATCAAAGTTTGTTTGCAAGCTCACCAACGCATTTATTTCAACAGAGGATACAGTCAATGGTAGTTCCCTTTTGCTATTTACAAATCAAGATCCAAAACATTTCAAATTGCAGAATAAAAAACATGATGCCTATTTTGTTTGAAGCAGACACGATTAATTTGAAAGAGTGGATGCATGCATTATTTAGCAAAGTGAACAAAAAGTATGTAAATAAGAAATTAGATAATAATTATTACCGTTCCATTTAATTGAGAAATAGCAGAATCGGCTTCCTCTTTTGTAGCGAAAGAAACAAAACCGTAACCAGCAGATTTACCAGAAGGACTGTCGAAAACGACTTTAACTGAGAGGGGTTTGAATTTGGAAGAAAAGAATTCACGGAGATCGGTGGACCTAACTTTCCATCCAAGATTCGACACATACAGCTTATGCCGTGTTTCTCCAGCTGGAATACTGCTGCTGCTTACAACACTATCAGTAGTGCGAATTGGTCTCTTGAATTGCTTTGCAAACTCTACTCTGATAATCCTATCACTCAATTCCTGCACAAAACCAACTCGAAAACAAAGAGCAGATATAGATAGATATTCAACTTGTCCGTATGAATAAGACTAAATATTGATATCAATAGAATGCAATTATAAATATTCAAATAAAAATATGAAAAAAGGAAAAGACAGACTACATACATGAGAGTCGTATTTGAGGATAGCAGCCTGAGCCTCTTCCCCAGTAGCCATTGTCACAAATGCAAATCCTCTACTCTTCCCATCTTTCTGCTTTATTATCTGCAATTTTATTTATTAATTTAAAAAAATAAATAAATAAATAAATAAAAAGGAGTGAGTGAGAAGAAATAGTAAGAACCTCAACATCGTCAACAACACCACATTCACCAAAAAGCTTCTTAATATCAACAACAGAGAAAGCCCAAGGCAAGTTTAGCACAAATAGCTTTCTTCTATTGTCCCATTTTCCAACTTCTTTTTTTTCTTCTTCTTCGTCTTCTTGTTGTTGTTGTAGATTTACCTGCAGTGCTGAGTGCAATTGAAGAAACCCAGGTTTTGTTTTGGTGCAATTGAGATTGAATTTCAGCGCTGCAGCAGAGACTTTGCTAAACCTAATTGAAGAAGAAACAACAGATTTGTTCGACGAATGGAATTTCGGAACTGATAAGATGAATGAGGAGGCTGCTTCCTTTGCTCCCAAAGCCATGGCTGCCAACTAAACAAAACAAAACTAGAGACTGGAATTGGATTAAACTGATATTTTAAGGGTTTATTTGCACTATACACCCTTCAAACATTCCATTTAGCAAACTTGCACCCCTTGGTTTGCAAGGTTCTACTTTCGGCCCTTTAAATTGAACAAAAAATAGGGATAACCCCTCGTTTCATTCTTTTATGGGGTCACATGCAATAAGCCCCTTATATAGATAGCTAAAAAATTGTGATATGTTCATCTAATACTACCTTATGTCAATTAGTTTAATTTTTCTCAATTATTCTTTTTTTTTTCCTATTTCCATACCAACAATTTAATTCCTAAAAATCTGCTACCAAATCAAAAATTAAAAAAAAAAACATTTTTTTTTTCATTTGGGATTTGTTTCGCATTTTTTCTTAATATTTTTTTAACATAAATATTTTTTTTAATAAAAAAATGATTTTTTTTGTCGACTTGTTTACTACGCCAAATATGACTATAGTTGAATATGACTATATGTGACTATATCAACGATAGTCGTATTCTTTCGTTATATTGCAGTTTTCACATTTTTAATAATAAAATTCCAATTATATAGTGTGGTACTCATGTTTACCAAATTATATAAAACAACGAAGGTTGCCCGTTATTTTCGAAAACAATCCAATCAACATCTACACAAACAATCACAATTTGAATGTTGTTACAAGTCAACTTGAAACGAAAAGATAGAATATATTTGAATATGACTACAGTCATATTCAAACAATAGTCATATTCGAATATGACTATAGTCATGTTACTGCTGCTAGTTCAGATCTGGAGAAAAAAATATTCGAATATAATTATAGTAATTTTAATGCTGCTAATTTAGATCTGGAGGAAAAAAAAGGAGAGAGAGAGAGAGAGAGAGAGAGAGAGAGAGAGAGAGAGAGAGAGAGAGAGAGAGAGAGAGAGAGAGAGAGAGAGAGAGAGAGAGAGAGAGAAGAAGAAGAAGAACAAGGAGGAGGAGAAATCGAAACATGCAGAAATAGAGATAGAAATATAACGAAAGATGGGAGGGGGTGGACGACACGGCGGTGGCGACGGTGAACGAAAGCGAGAGTGAGAGAGGCGGCGGCGACGGTTGTGGTGGACAGATCTGAAGAAAAAAAATGAGAAATTGAGAGAGATAACGAAAAAAAGAGAAAAAAAACCTTATATAAAGACGAAGGATGCGGCGACGGCAACGAGCGGCGATGGTGGTGGTGTAGAGATCTATGTGGAGACGATGGTGGTGTAAAGAGAGAGAAATCGGGAGAGATAACGAACAAGAGAGAAAGAGATTTAGCACGGTGGCAGTGGCGCGGCGGCGGCGGTGGAGGAAGGTCATAATTTTCGAAGAGAGTTGAGGGATTTAGGTGGAGAGGTGGAGAAAAGAGAAGATGAAAGTGATAGATATGAACAAATAATTAGGGTTATAGTAGTTGAGGGTATACCAACCATCATTAGGAGAGTTGGTACCTAGCCTTTACCAATAGGGTAACGGTCTAGGGTTCGAGTCCCCCCCTCCCCTACTTCCCCTTGTAATGGACTTGAATTTACTCAAAAAAAGTAGTTGAGGGTATATTTGTCTTGTCACACTAGTACAGAGGGTCTCACTAATTAAAAATAAAATTTGGGTGTAAAGCCTTAAAAAGTCATAATTAGCAAGACCCCCCTCATCTAGGTAAATGAGTTAAGAAAACCGCCCTCCAAAAAATAATAGAGAAAACCCCCTTACCTAATATTCTACCCAAATATTATTTAATAATTCCCAAATCACCCTTATTGCCCCTAACCCATTGCCGTTCTCTTTTTTTTTTTTTTTTTTTTTCTCGTCTTCTCTCTTCTGCCGTTCTCTCTTCTTCTTTTCTCGTCTTCCCTCTTCTCGTCTTCTCTCTTCTCTCTTCTCTTGGCAATTATCTTCTCGTCTTCTCTCTTCTCTCTTCTCTTGGCAATTACCTCCGCCATGGATTATCGGTCAGAGGAAGATGCATTTGTATTCGCCACCCAACTGGCCATGGCGGCGGTGTTCCCAGCACCACTCAAAACCGCCGTGGAGCTCGACCTTTCGGAGCTCATCAAGAATTCCGGCGCCGCCGTCTCTGCTCGGGAACTCGCCGCCCAGCTTCCCGCTGCCGCCAATCCCGACGAACACGTCATGCTCAACAGAATCCTCCGCCTCCTCACCAGTTACTCTGTCCTAAATTCCAGCCCCAGAAATCTCCCCGGCGGCGGCGGCGGCGTTGACTTGGTGTATTCTTTAGCTCCGGTTATTTATTTTATTCTTGTTAGGGATTGGTTGAATAGTGTATTGTGGCAGCGGTGTGGTGACGATGGGGAGGCAGATTTAGGATTTTTTGTTGGATTGGGCGGATAACGGCGCGTGTAGAGAATTTCGCCCAGGCTGAAACCTTAATCGACTATGAAGCACAGTCGATTTAAGACTAATCGACTATGCTTCATAGTCGATTAAAAAAACGGAAAAAAAAAATTCGCGGAGCGTGTGACCCAGTGATAAGGTGGCGGGCGGGGGTAAAGCTGAAAAACATAAGGCTGAAATTGGAATATGGACTTTTCTCAAATGATCTAAAATATTTTGGGCCTATCCCCATTAAAAAAAGTAATAGGGGGTTATGTCAAAGAGCCCCTTAAATTTAGTTGAAAATATTTTTCATTTAAGGCAGTAATTGCATATTTTCCTGTCTTTTATAGACTCAAGTACAGGAGATAAAATAATACGGCTATACATCGATTAGGTCCATTCACCAAATTAGTTACAAAAATTTAAATTAGTTTATAAGTGTATAGATAGATACAAACTCCACTAAATAATACTGTGATTGTAGGAATATGAGAGCATAAATTCCTCTTTTAGCGATGTTATTGTATAGAACAAATCTGATCTATTTTCCAAAAATAAAATGGCCAGACTAGGGGTGCAAATCGGACGGATCGGATCGGATTTAGGTGTTTCGAAAAATTTCCGATTTTTTTCGGAAGTCCAAAACGCTTTCCAATTCCGATTCCGATTTTTTCAGAATTCAAAAATTGATTCCGATTCCGATTTTTTCGGAATTTTCGGAAAATCGGAATTTTTCGGAAATCTTCATTTTCGGAATTTTCGGAAAATTTTCGGAAATTTTTGGAAATTTTTCGGAATTTTCCCAAAAAAAAAATTGAGTTTTGACTTTGTATGTTTTAAAAAATTAAAAAAATAATAATATGTCCAAATATATATATATATATATATATATATATATATATATATATATATATATATATATATATATATATATTTACATAATAATTGGAAAAAATATAAGTAATATACTAATATATATTACTAGTAATTAGTACAGACTACGGATAAATAAAGACATATAGTATATATTATATATAGTAATAAATATTAATAATAATTAGAAAAATCGGAATAAATCGGAAATAATCGGAATAATTTCGGATCGGAAATCGGAAATTCCGAAATTCTGTTATGTATTTCTGATTTCGATCCGATTTTTTTTGGAATTTTCAGAAATCGGAATTTCGGAATTCGGAATTAAAAAAGTCGTTCCAAAATCGGAATATTTCGGATCGGATTCGGCGGAAATCGGAATTTTCGTTCCAATTTCCACCCCTAGGCCAGACAAAACACTACCACAATTATCACCCTAATCTATTAGAATCATCCTGCGGCTTCTACGAACCAAATTTTTTTGGGCTATTTGATAAATATTCTCCATGGCTTTTTGACTTAATAAATTCAAGGGGTCATTACAAATAAGTCCATCAATGGGTACTTATTAATAAAGAGATCCAAACAAAAAACTCCTTTATCAATAAGTCCACACATGGTCCAGATTTTTGTATAGGACGAAAATCACCCCTCATACTTTAATGCTCCAATTTCATCCTTAACTTAATTTAACCTCGATTTGACCCAAAATTTCACAAATTATTCAATTTTGACCCAAAATTTTTTTTTTTAAAAAAACAATTCCCACCGGATTCCGGCGTTGACTTTTCAAATTTTTTTTAATTATTTTTTTTTCTTCCGGATTTTTTCGCCGATTTCCGGCGTTGACTTTTTCGATTTTTTTTTCTTTTCTTTCTTCCTGTAACTTTTTTTTCGTTTAAACAACAATATTGCTGTGATTGACAGTAAATATATTACTGCTAAACACATTAAAATTAACTAAACTACAGTTTAACACATTAATATTGCTATATTAATCTCTAACACAGTGATAATAACACAACAAAACTCATTATTATTGTGTAATAGAGTAATATTACTATGTTGACCGTTCAACAAATGTAAACATAATAAAAAGCCAAAAGAATTAATATTACAGTGAGTGACATTAATATTACTATAACAACAATAATATTACCGTCAACCACAGTAATATTACAATAATAGACAGTAATATTATTACGTTACTCCGTGAATAACTCAAACAAACAAAAAAATCCAAACAAAATAATAATATTGATGTGGTTGACAACAATATTACTATAATAACAGTAATATTACCGTCAACCACAGTAATATTATTGTGTTTACAGTAATATTACAATAATAGACAGTAATATTATTACGTTACTCCGTAAATAACTCAAACAAAATAAAAAATCCAAAAAAATAATAATATTGATGTTGTTGACGGTAATATTATTGTGTTTACTGTTATTTTAATGTCAACGACTGTAATATAATTACGTTGACTTGTCAACAAATCAAACAAAATAAAAAAAAATAACAAAAACTAAAAAATAATAATATTACGTTAATTTACTGTCAACGGCAAAACAATTACATAAATGTATTGTCAACGGCAGTACAATTACGTTAATTAACTGTCATTGACAGTATAATTACGTTAATTTACTGTCAGTCACAGCACAATTACGGTCAACGTTTAGCGACGGACATAAAAAAAACAAAAAAACAAAATAAAACTTAAAAAAACACTAAAAAAGTCAACACCGGATACCGGCGAAAAAATTCGAAAGAAAA